ACGAGTTACGGAGAAAGGGAAGGTCCATCCGAGCAGAGATTCGAGGCACCCATTTTGTTGTGAATTAAGTCTAAATCACAACCGGAGAGCGCCGGTTAACCACAGTTCGAGTTTTCTTCTCTAGACCCATGATGTTCTGTTATGTCGATGTTCAACATGAAGAACAGGTTCGCTTCGAGAGGGATTTTTAGGTATTTATATACTGTATTACGCATAATCATATTCCATTCAAAGAAGACGAACCCGAATTTTGTAGCCAGTACCGAATAGATAATTGATTTGCGAGTGTGTACACGCACGTTAATGAGCATTGTTTGATTTTTGCCTACAAAAATTTCATCTTATTAATTCGTAAAACGTATTTTGTAGTCAGTACCGAATAGATAGTTGATGTGCGAGAGTGTGCAGTACGTCGGTAATTTTCGTCGGGAAATTAATGAACTTAATTATTATTAATGAATATTTTAAATAGTTAATTATTATTTTTATTGTCTTTTGCAATGCTTAACTTATCAATAAAACTTAATCCTATTTAACTTATTTTGATATGCATATTTACAAAATTTTTTATGCACAATCATTTCCTCTGAGAAATTATTGTTGCATGCATATATAGTCATAGCCTCTCCAACCACTTCTAAACGACTCTTTCATTGAGCTCTAATTTATGAGTTTTCGACTGGCAGCATATCAACATTATATGGATATAGTTTTATTAAAGTTTAGTTTAGTCTAAATGCCGAATCTGCTATTATATTGCTGGCACATCTAAATTGTATATGTTTCTCTTATTTTCCCTTGAAAAGTAGTAAGTATCTAACATCTTTGTTAAGTATTACCAATGTTAAAATACATGTAACGTATACAGTGGCGTAACTATATTTTTTAGGCCTGTAAGCAAACTCTAACTAAGGGGCCCCTACCAACATACTAAGGGGCCCCCCTTTTTATACTCTTTACACGAAAAAATGTAAAAAGGGTATATAAGGTTTGTCAAGATTTTCGTAACGCATTAAAGGAAACTTCGGAAATACCATTAAGTATATATCAGTATACTTTTACAGTTCAAACTACTCTCTCAGCTTTTGAACTCTTCGAATAAAACTTTATACACATACTTTTCGGGAGCGCACCCTGTTCACCATTTGATTTGATTAAAATTGGACGTCTATTTCTTGTAGCTGTGATATAAACTTAACAATCGGATATGAGGTTTCTCCGTTTTTAATAAAGGTATTCAAATGGAATATGGTGTATACAGTACTGATATTTGCAAAAGACAACGTACAAAATTATTTTCAAATGGGTTTAAATTTAGATATAGCTTCCATATAAACTCTCGATCAAGACACATATTTTTCTTAGAAAAACTTTTTTATTTCATAAATAGGTTTAATATTTTATTTGAAGTACATACATATTATGTACTTTAAATTTAAAATTTACGTATCTTTTATAAAATGCAATATGATGTTATTCCAACAAAAAACGTTTCGTCCCACTTTTGAGAATTTATTAAAAAGAAATACAATGAATACAAAAATTTATAGTGGGGCCCCCTAAATTCGGGGGCCCGAAAGCGTTGCTTCCAGTTGCTTCCCTGTAGTAACGCCACTGAACGTATACTACTTTTCCTTAAAAATTTTTTTTGTTAAAAATACATGTAATATAATTATAAGTTATTTTTCTACTGATTACTGTTTGTTTTGATAATTAGGTCTAGAATACTTTTTAAGTAATTCATTATAAGTTGCATTTTGCTGAATATTTTATGTGTCATAAGTTGAATTTTGCTTATTATTTTATGTCATTTTAAGTTGTATACTTGCTTACTGTTAATTATTGTTTTAAATCAGGACATACAGTGGCTCACAGCTTATTTGATGCAAGCAAAAATTTTTTGAAAAATGTTGTTTATTTCAAAATATTTTGCAAAATTAAAAAAACAAAGTATGCAGAGTTATTGTTTATAGTGTGTTTATTCATTTAAAAAAGAAAAAACCCAAAAATCTTCTTCCATTCCTTAGTAATGCATCAAAAACCAAAACCAAATGAAAAATTCATGTCACAGCTTAAATGATGCAGTTAAGAATACCGTTATTTTTGTCGCCAAATTACACAGAAATTAAAATATTTTTATTCTGCGATCATTTGTAATCTAGTTTTTGAGCGAAAATATTATAAAAATTAAAGTGAGTGCATTTTGTTAACCATGGGACGGCGCACATCAATTGAAAAGCGTGAGTTAGTGTTGGAGTACTTTAAAAAGGGAATTCCCCAGCGTAAAATTGGTGAAATGGTCAATATAAGCTCTTCAACAGTTCAACACATAATTGAACGCTTCGTACATGAAAATCGCATAGAAAATAAGGGACGAAAGGCTCCCAATAAAATTTTTACAGAAAAAGAATCGAGGTATTTGGTAAACCAAATTCGAAAATATCCAACTATTAGCGCTCCAAAGTTGACAGACATGGCCAAAATAGATTTTGGAAAAATTTGTCATCCTGAAAACGTCCGCAGAATATTGAGAGAATCAAATTTCAATGGAAGAATAGCTGTAAAGAAACCTTTCGTAAGTGCAAAAAATAGAATTAAAAGATTGCAGTTTGCACGAGAGCATTTAAATAAGAGTCCAGCATTTTGGCGAAATGTACTTTTTGCAGACGAAGTCAAAATAAACTTATTTGGATCAGATGGAAGATCTTATGTATGGCGCGAAGTCAATTCTGAGCTCAAACCACAAAATTTACGTGCAACCGTAAAACACGGAGGTGGTAATGTTATGGTTTGGACATGTATGTCATCAAATGGAGTAGGAAATTTGGTCTCCATCGAAGAATCTATGAATAAAAATATTTACTTACAGCTTCTTCAAGAAAATTTGATTCAAAGTGCAACGAAATTGCAGATTGCAGATGATTTTCGCTTTTACCAAGACAACTACCCTAAGCACAAGTCAGCATTAGTACAAACGTGGTTGATATGGCAATGTCCACACATTGTCCAAACTCCTGCACAATCACCAGACTTGAACGTTATTGAAAATTTGTGGTCCGTTTTGAAGACAAATATCAGAAAACATGACATCCGCAACAAATTTGACTTAAGAAACGCTTTACAGCAAGAGTGGAGTAAAATTAGTCCAGATTATACCAAAAAACTGGTTGATTCCATGTCAAAAAGGTTTCATGCTGTTATTACTAATAAGGGATATCCAACAAAGTACTAAGTACTTAGAATTAGTCCGGAAGTTTGTAAAAATATAAGTTTTTTTGATGTTGCATCATTTAAGCTGTGACATGAATTTTTCATTTGGTTTTGGTTTTTGATGCATTACTAAGGAATGGAAGAAGATTTTTGGGTTTTTTTTTTTAAATGAATAAACACACTATAAACAATAACTCTGCATACTTTGTTTTTTTAATTTTGCAAAATATTTTGAAATAAACAACATTTTTCAAAAAATTTTTGCTTGCATCAAATAAGCTGTGAGCCACTGTACGTGTACTGTGATATAGGTTAGAAAATTATTGCACGTTTGCTTATTCTTTTTAGGTGATAATTTTAGTAAGCAGTCATAAGCAATTATTATAAGAAAAAATATGTATATATAGATAAGATATGGTCAGCCAAAAATTAAATTAATTAAAATAATATAAAAAAAAATTAAATTTTTGTTGTAATTCACTACTGTTCGAAAAACCTTTTTAAGAAAATATAATAAGTTTCTATTAAAATATAATAGTCACTTTCATGTGGAAAATTTGACGTTAAATTACAACTTATATTCACAATATATTGGTCTCACCCGTGCGACTAGTGGAGTAATATTAGCATGACTTTCTCAGCATTACGTTGCTAGATTAGGTTCTAAACATAAGAAAGAACATATCATGCAACAAATAATGCCTCTACGAATAGAATAGTTTTGAAATTTAACAATTAAAAATAAAAAATATAATTAATTAATTAATTCAATTATTCTACAGCTGGTTTATGATTTCGTTCTAATATAAACACAGCAAGTAAAATTGTTAATAAAAACTTTCATAGTAAAAGTAACAAAACTCCAGAAAAATAAGCGAACAAAAAAGTCAAGTACGGCTTCGGATCAGATGGTTAAGGTGCGCTGATTCTGGTACTTACAGTCTCAAAAATAATTATTTACGAATAATTAAATACAAGAATCATGTCCAAGACCAAAATGATGGGTATTTTGCAATACTGGAAACAGCTGTATGGTCAGCCAAAAATTCAATTAATTAAAATAATATAAAAAAAATAAAATTTTTGTTGTTGTAGTCACTACTGTTCGAAAAACCTTTTTATAAGATAAGTCAATTATTCAATAAAGTATTCGATTACATAAAGTCGATCCAAACTCATCTTTCATTTATTTTACCTTTTCATCTAAATACTAACGGGTTTATGTGCTCGATGGTATATCCATAAAAAAAAATACAAATTACCGTCCAACAAGTTACATGTGCTTGGTGGAATTGTGGTATACAAATACCTATTGTTAGAAAATTGAGGATAAACGAATCCCCAACAATCTTCATCAATTTGGATATTTTATGTATGAATCAATACAACGTCCAGGAGTATTCACATTAAATGTACCTGAAACGGTGTTTAGTAACCATCACTAAATATAAAGAGTGAAAAATAATAATCTATGTACCTGAAATCTACTAAAGCTAGTATGATAAAATCCCATCCTTTGTAGTTATATTAACTTTTAAAATTTTACAAATACAAATTGTATTTTTTAGCATGCAATTTTAAACATTCAATTTGTAAACAAAAAACATATTATTTTCTTAATATGGAGCAGTATGAATACTGTTCAAATTAATTTAACATTATTTTAGCGAAATTAAGCAAATTTGGCTATCTGAAAATAGTATAAGTCTATGTAGTTTGTTGTTTTTTTAATTTGCAAAATATTTTGAAATAAATAAAACTTTTCAAAAAATTTATGGGAGCCAGTGTAATTATTTGGAAGCACGATTCTTAATAATTTATTTATTGAGAGTACTGTTTTCGAACATTTATAGTATCAATTATATTTACATGAAACATTATTATAATTATTTAATATAAAAATAAAATTGACTTATTGAAATATATTTTGAGATTTCCTTTTCAATAATTTTGATTTAATGAGTGTCTATTTTTAATTATGCTTCTGACGAAAAATTCTCCAGCTTTATATGAACTTCGGACTAAAGGACCACTAGCAGTGTATAGAAAACCCAATTCATTTCCACGTTTTTCAAAGTGTTTAAATTTTTCGGGAGTTACATATTCTATTACTTTTAGGTGTTTTTTAGTTGGTTGCATATATTGTCCCAATGTTAAGCAATCAACATCTGCTTCCCGTAAATCGCGCATTGTTTTTTCGATTTCCTCATCAGTTTCACCAAGTCCTAACATAATGGAGCTCTTAGTTACAAGTTTTGGATTAAAATGTTTAGCTTGACGCAGCACCGTTAATGTTTGCTGGTAACCCGCTCGTCTATCGCGTACAAAAGGAGAGAGTTTCTCAACAGTTTCAATATTGTGAGCATAAACATCAAGACCGGAATTAGCTATGATTTCAACGCAATCTAAATTTCCTTTGAAATCAGGAACGAGGCACTCTACAAATATATTCTTATTTCTATAAAAAATTTAGTATTTACAATTCGCTACATAACAAAATGTTTAGTTGTATACGTATATGTATGCATGTGATATACTCAGTACCTTTTTTTGATTTCCCTTACTGTCTCAGCAATGTGGTTACTGCCACCATCACTTAAATCTGTATATAATTAAAATAATTTGTGGCAAATTGAATTATATAGCCATATTGAATTTTACCATCTCTATCGACTGAAGTAAGCACAATGTAATCTAAACCCCATGTGGAAATAGCCTCTGCAGTATTAATTGGTTCTTTGGGATCTAAAGGCGGGGGTATTCGAGCAGTTTTTACTGAACAAAATCGACAACCACGCGTACAAGTATCTCCCATTAGCTATAATATAAATTTAATTTTGTTATTTTGCAAGCCCGTAACGTGATGATGTTATAAATTACGTCATAAATATTAACAATGTTAGGTTCGTATTACCATTATTGTAGCAGTTTGCGTACCATGTTCACCCCCTCCCCAACATTCTCCTATATTAGGACATCGAGCTTCTTCACATACAGTAGATAGTTTTAAATCACGTAATTGAGATTTAATTTTACTAAAATCTTTGCCTTTCGGAATTGTTGTTTTAAGCCAAGGAGGAAGTTTCAGACGATCTTCATCATTCTTTTTAAGACGTAGCTTTCCTTCATAAGAAATCCAATCTTCTCTGGTATAATGTTCATTCTGAATAAAATCTTCAAAATTAGGGCCATCCAACAGACGTTTACGAATAACATCAATTTTTTCTTTACTGATTGATGATGAATATGAACTATTTGAAACAAGTCGTATGGTAGTTCCCTATAATTATAAAATATAGAATTATTTAAACACACGTGAGATTTTATCATATTACGAAATGACCACTATGCTTTGTCTTGCATAAACTTATCATAATGCCCCTTTATTCGTGATAAATTTCGGAAATACAATGTCAAATAAAAATGAACGATACTATATGGAACAATCTAAAATGAAACATTGAAAATTTTTTTGTTACAAAAATAAATAAATAAATGATATGTTTTATGCATGACTTTATTGAACAAATTATTTTGAAAATATGGTTTTAAAAAACACAAAGCCTACTTTATATAAATAATTTATATAGTAATATGCGAACAAAAAGACAATGGCACATTGTTATGTAGGCCTGCGTGAAAAAAAAAATTAGTTTAACAGAATTAAATGTACAGACATGCCATTACCCCGATTTACCAGCGACGGCCGGTACCACTCCACGCAGCGCTCGTGTACGCTGCTTGTGATTGTTTTTTTCTCGTCTCCGCCTTGTCTTCTTTAGTTTAATTTATTTTTTTACTATATTTTCTTTTACATTTATTTTTACTATTTTTTACTGTCACTATATTTTGTATTTATTAATTAACTATGAATTTAAAAAAAATATATAAAAGGAATAAGTTCTTTAATTTACATATGCATTGCTCGCACATGATAAAAGTAAAATATGAGAAAGAAACAAAAAGAAAAAAAAGCTTTTATACATTTTTTTGTTTTGGTCCGGAGCTGCAGCGAAAGCTTAAGCAAATTATAAATTAGGAATAACAATGCTGCCAAAACAAGCTTAAAAATGACCGAAATGCAGTTTACATAAAAGCGGGTGATATACCTGTAGTGGTTTTTTATGTTGGGGTTTTATTTCGAATTTAACACTCCGTATTGGTAATGGATAAGTTTATTTATTTCTTATACTTAGTTATTATAAAATATTCTTAAAGTTAAAATTTGTGTTTTTTCGTTTTATTCACGTGCTGCTTTGTCTTTTTCCAAACTACTACTGGCGGGAACTGCGGCTATTGTTGTCTCCTTTGTGCCTTGTTGACAGTTCTTTTATTTATATTTTTTGGTGCTGCCACAGTACTCCCCCCTAAGTGATGGAGTCACTAAATTTGGTTGGAAAGCGAACGTTGCGTCCTGATTTTGTCAGGTTAGCTGTTGTATTTGGTCGCACAGACTGGTCGCCATTAACGTTGTTTGGAGTGTGGTATACCATTGATTTGTTGTGGATGTCAATGTCTGTATCGGGACATATGAAAGCAGCTTTAAGACGATCTATGCTAACTGTTTGTTCTTTGTTTTCGATCAGTATTCTAAACGTCTTGTCATTTCGCTCTAGTATTTGGTAAGGACCATCGTATGGTTGCGTCAATGGTGGTTTTACCTTGTCATTTCGTATAAATACATGCGTGGCTGAGCTTAGAGCCGGTTGGATGTGGTAGCCTCGGTCTATATGATGCGATACCAACGTTGCCTTGACGCTCTGCATTTGTTCTCTTAGCTTGGTTATGAAATCGTGTTGATTTATATTTCTGTGGCTAGGGTTGCTTACTATTTCGCCCGGTAAACGTAGAGTTTGGCCATATAGCATTTCAGCAGCAGAAGCTCCAATGTCTGGTTTAAAAGTCGTGCGTAGACCTAACAATACTATTGGTAAAACTTCTGTCCAAGAAGTTGTTTGGTGGCACATTAAGGCTGCTTTTAATGTGCGGTGAAATCGTTCCACCATTCCGTTACTTTGAGGATGGTAACTCGTAGTTCGTAAGTGTTTGCAACCGATAACTTCAGCTAGTTGGTTGAACAATGAAGATTCAAATTGTCTTCCTTGGTCTGTTGTGATACGTAAGGGTACGCCAAAACGTGCGATCCATTGAGTAATCAGTGCGTTTGCGATGGTTTCCGTTGTTTGATCTGGGATCGGAATTGCTTCTGGCCATCGGCTGAAACGGTCGATGATGGTTAATATATATGTGCAGTTGTTTGATGGTGGTAGCGGGCCGACGATATCTATGTTTATATGTTCGAATCTGTGTTCAGCGAGTTCATATTGACAAATAGGTGAACGGTTGTGACGTTGCACTTTAGAACGTTGGCATGGGATACATTGTCGGGTCCAGTTTCTGATATCAGCATTTATAGAAGGCCAGAAAAATTTTTCAGCTATCATTTTTGTTGTGCCCCGAATGCTGGGATGAGACAACCCATGCGTAGCTTTAAAGATATGTAGCCGGTATTTCTGCGGAATGTAAGGACGAATTCGCCCAGTTGAAACTTCGCAATAAATTTTATCTGATATTGTTGATAAAGATAAAAGTTTGATTTCGATGGAATTGTTGTTTTTGATATCTTGTAGTTGTGGGCAACATCGTTGTAATCCAATTATACAATCGTAGTCGATTTTTGGGATGCTAATACTATCTATCCGCGAGAGAAAATCTGCTGGGATGTTGTCTTTTCCGCTGACATGAACGATATTCGTTGTAAATTGACCTATATAATCAAGCTGACGGACTTGACGTGGTGAAGCCTTGTCGGACTTTTGCTGGAATGCGAACGTGAGTGGCTTGTGGTCAGTTATTAATACGAATTCACGACCTTCTAACATATGTCGAAAATGTTTTATGCCCTGATATGCGGCTAACAACTCACGATCGTATGTGCTGTATCGTTTTTGTGTATCTGTTAATCGTTTAGAGAAAAAACCGAGTGGTTGGAACGTGCTGTCTGTCACTTGATGAAGAACTGCGCCGAGAGCTTTATCCGAGGCGTCTACTTGTAATGCAAGCGTAGCAGTTTTTGACGGATGAACAAGTAGTGTCGAGTTTGTTAGTTCATCTTTACATTTTTGGAAGATTGTTTTGTTCACTTCGGTCCAGCATAACGGTGTGTTGTCGTTCTTCTTGTTTCCTTTTATCATTTGTTGAAGTGCAGTTTGAGAATCTACAGCGTTTGGTATGAACCTGCGATAAAAGTTAAGTAATGCTAGAAATCTTCTTAATTCTTTTGTTTTTGTTGGAAGCGGGTACTCGCTGATGCTCTTCACTCGATCTGGTAGAGGTTGAATGCCCTTTTCACTGATGAGATAACCAAGAAATTTTACTGTGTTTTGAGCAAAAACGCATTTTGATACGTTTATTATTAAACCATGTTTTCTGAATCGTTCGAATACTTGTTGCAAGTGTTGCCTGTGCTCTTCCTCGTTTGCTGATGCAATAATGACGTCGTCAATATAGGCAAAGGCGAATTCGAGATCTCTCGTAATACTTCGTGAATGAAGCGTTGAAATGTTGGACCTGCATTGCAAAGTCCGAATGTCATTAGTTAAATTCAAATATCCCAAATGGAGTTATGATCGCCGTTTTTGGAATACTCCCCGGTTCAACTGGTATCTGGTGATATGCCTTAATCAGGTCGATGGTTGAAAAAACTTTTTGGTTATATAACATGTGTGCAAAATCATGTATGTGAGGAACTGGGTAACGATCTGGGATGGTGATTGCATTTAATGGGGCTAGCCCAATTGCTGCTTGATGGACGGCATATTCCGGCTGTGACTAAGTTTTGGAATTCTTCTTTTGCTGCTGCTAGCTTGTCTGGAGGTAACCTACGTGGTCTCTCACATATTGGTGGACCTTTTGTTAATATGTGGTGAGTGACTTTTGTCACCTGGCGATTTGTCGGTGTTGGTTTAGTGATGTCGATGTATTCTTTTAGTAGATCTGCAATTTTGCAAGATGTGTTCACAGTTGATATTTTTTTGCGCATTTACCTTACGTTCACTTGCGGCTGAGAAAATCTTTGTTGATGTGTCGATCAATCGTTTCATTTTTATGTCTACTATTAATCCGAAATGATTTAAAAAATCTGCACCGATGATTGAAGTGTTTACATCTGCGATAATAAATGGCCATGTGAAATTTCTTCGTAAGCCAAGAGCTAGAGTTATCTCTATTTCTCCAAATGTTTTGATCATAGAACCATTTGCTGCGTAGAGTATTCTTTCGTTCTTATTGTTTGTATTTGAATTTTTTTGTTTGGCGGCAATAAGTGAAACATCTGCACCCGTGTCTATTAGGAATGATTTTTTTGTCTTATTGTCATAGACGAACAGTCTTGTAGATGTTTCGTTTACAACTTCCTCTGCCGCCGTAGACGAAGTCGGTTTTAGTTTTTTGTGCCATATGTGCATGGCTGCTTGCAATTTTTTGCATTTGACCCATATGTTCTATGATACCAACAATTTGTACTGGTCTTTTCTTCACTATCATCATGACATTGCCGGTTTCTGGATGTTGAACGTGAACGTTGATTTGTTCTTGAGCGGTGTTCGGTTGATAATTTCGAGACCATTTTCGTCAGTCTGGTCACTTCTCGTTGAAGTTGTTCGATTTGTGCATCACGTTGAATATGAGCTGCTGCAGGGACGTTAGCTGCATTGACGTAAGTTCCTTGCATTGTTGAGTTTATACGGATTGTTTCGGTTATGTTGTCTGCCAATTCCGCCATCTTAGGTAGTTCCACTTGAATTGTGGCTAGACATGTCTGTACTTCTACAGGAAGACGTTGTAACCATAACCCTTTCAGTAATTGTTCGTCTTGTTTGCTTCCACTAATACGTTGCAATTCGCTTAAAAGATGGGATGGCTTTTTATCCCCAAGCTGTAAACCACTAACTAATTTTTGTATGCGTTTTTTTTCACTATCCGCAAAGTTTTTTATTATTGCTTGCTTGATAGCTTCGTACTTCTGAGTTGCTGGTGGATTCTGTATTGTGTTATAAATTTGTTCTAACAGCGATCCATCCAATGCTGCGATAACTGTGCCAAACTTTTGAGTATCGCCCTTTATGTTGTTGACTTGGAACCAGTAGTCCAACTGAATAAACCAAAGGTCAATGTTGTTTTTTATTAATGTTGGCATCGGCAGCTTTATTGCAGCGATTGTTGCATTTTCGTTGATTGGGTTAGTGTCTTCGGTTATCTTTTGCTCTTGAGTAGCCATTTTTTATATTCGGCGTCGGCTTGGTCACCAATGTAGTGGTTTTTTATGTTGGGGTTTTATTTCGAATTTAACACTCCGTATTGGTAATGGATAAGTTTATTTATTTCTTATACTTAGTTATTATAAAATATTCTTAAAGTTAAAATTTGTGTTTTTTCGTTTTATTCACGTGCTGCTTTGTCTTTTTCCAAACTACTACTGGCGGGAACTGCGGCTAT